TGCTTCCTTAACACTTTGATTTCCTTTTGGGGAGATTCCCTGTCAGCTGACACAATTTGTCAAGGACTGTAAGCTATACTTTTTTTCTGTGCTGTCACTTCCCCAGATATTTTATTTTATTTTACAATATATACTTATCTTCCAAAGAAATGGAAGGGCACCTGCCATTGTAGCACAAGCAATATACACTCAAAATACTTTCAAAATGTGTCATGTTATTTTGAACAAAATGGAATCTTAACAACACAAACAGAATACCAATTAAAAAAACAGTTTTGAGCAGCAGCTAGTATAACAATTAAAATCCTATCCCTGAGTCCTCAAAGCTTGCCAGAATAAAAAATGTCTTTGCAATTTTCTTAAAAACTGGAAAGGATCTGGCCCTCTAAGCACTTGGGATTTACTGAGTCTTATTAGATTAATAGTAATTAAAAACCATTTTTTCTTGGTCATGTTCTGTAGTGTTGTGGTCACTGCTTGGATGTTGATTAAACCATTGCACAGAGCTTCACTGCCAGCAAAATCCAGACTTGACTTTACTACTCTCAATTCTGTCTGCAATAGGTAGCAAACTCTGATAGGAGGCGCATTAGACTTACCCTGGAAAAAGAGAGGATCACTCTTGAGTCTGTTCTCCACGTTTTCTTGGTCTTTTCCCCGCACAAGATTCTATGGCCCAGTATTTTTCTAATTTGGTAAACCCCTCACACTGTAGCGCTTTCATGCTTGTCAGGTTCAATCTCTTTCTTCGACTGTTTCGACAGGCAGATATAAGGGTATTCCTTATAAAGAAAGAGTCTGTACCTCTTTACAATGAACCTGACTCTGTGCAACATATTCTTTTTTGCTGCTCTCATTACTCTTTGCTATGTCATTCCTTGATCAGTCCCTTCTTTCTTCTGCAAAAGCTATGACCAATAATGACCTTGTTTTTTGTTATCTGACAAATCTCCTGAAATTACTGCAGTTGTCACTGAGTACCTATTATGTGTATGGAAGTTAAGGGTTAGAAACTGTAATACTCAGATTTACCTTTTTTCCTCTCTTTTTATTAATTCCAAATGGGTTCTGTTTGGTGGGGACTTTTAGTATGTGTATATATGTATTTATTAGTGTCTAGTTTTTTGAATTGTTGTACTATTATTACCAGTACTTGTCCACAGAATTCGTTATACTAATATTGCTATTGCTAATGGCATGAAGAGGTTCATTTTGCATTTGCATTGGGGCTGATTTAAGCACAATTTTTTTAGATCTCACTACTGTAAAACATGGGATTATCTTTTATCCTTATAACAAGGAAGGTTAGCTGAAAATAACTTACCTTCAGCTTCTTTGTGGCTGATGTTTGAATGCAAACCTACCAAACTGCACATCTAGAATGTTCTAATCTCAGGGACTGAAATTATTTCAGAAATTTCTTTCTAGAGACCTTGACATATTGCCTTAGTCAATAGTGACATGTATGGACCATCACACAACTGGTAGAAGCTGAACAGTCCTCATAGTTGCCTTTCTGCAATGAGCAGGGAGGACCACATGTGGCAAAAGATAAGTACCTTCTCCCCGTTTTGAACTACCATGTCAAATCCCACAATGAAAAAGACCTGACTTGGAGAATGTCAGCTTCTCACATTATACTCATCAGTGGCTTCTGAACTGTCAGCCAGGCAAACTGCCCACAGATATAATTGGAGTATATTCTGATATATGAAGCACATATGACATGGCTTTAGTACTGAGGTCATTCTGAGTCCATGTTTGGACCTTGATTGAGTGCTTTAGCTTCATTTATGAAAAAAAAACCCTTTAAATTCAGACAGATTTCATAATGGGGCCAATAGCAGCTCTACAAGGTGGTCTGAAGTTGTGAAAACATTGTCGGTGAAAGGCCACTTTTCCCTGTGTGCCATGATTGTGAGCAGAAAAATTCCAGTATTAGGGTACCAGCTCAATGTTGGCAACCAACAGGAGGCTGACTTGATGGGGTGCTTGCTGGTGATGTCACTGGAGAAGTGGTAAGATTACTTCCAGCATGACCCCGCAATGCTGTAACATTTTCCCAAAATGTTATGGTTTAACCACAGAATTTTATACAAATTCTAGAGTGTTGCCCAATATGTTGACATCACTTGAGAGCCAGTTTGTGTAGTGGTAAAGTGTGCGGACTCTAATCTGGGAGAACCGGGTTTGATTCCCCACTCTTCCACTTGAACCTGTCTGGATGACCTTGGGCAAGCCGTAGCTCTGATAAGAGCTGTTCTTGAAAAAGAGGTGTTTCTGTCAAGAGCTCTCTCAGCCCCACCTACCTCACAGGGTGTCTGTTGTGGGGAGGGGAAGGGAAAAAGGAGTTTGTAAGCCGCTCTGAGACACCTTTGGGTAGTGAAGGGCGGGGTATAAACCCAATCTTCTTCTTCTTCCTCTTCCTCTTCCTCCTCTTCCTCTTCCTCCTCTTCCTCTTCCTCCTCTTCCTCTTCCTCCTCTTCCTCTTCCTCCTCTTCCTCTTCCTCCTCTTCCTCTTCCTCCTCTTCCTCTTCCTCCTCTTCCTCTTCCTCCTCTTCCTCTTCCTCCTCTTCCTCTTCCTCCTCTTCCTCTTCCTCCTCTTCCTCTTCCTCCTCTTCCTCTTCCTCTTCTTCTTCTTCTTCTTCTTCTTCTTCTTCTTCTTCTTCTTCTTCTTCTTCCTCCTCCTCTTCCTCCTCTTCTTCTTGCCAGAAGTGATGTGATACCACTGGATGACACCAGTTGCCTCCCCAATTTCCCCAGCCTGTCCCCTGCCAAAGCAGGAGGTCTGACCTCCCTGGCCCATGGGCATCTGGGAATCACACAATTCCCATTGGACATCTGATACAAACTCCTCATGGTATCACCTAAGAGCTAAACCTGACAGTGCAATAAGAGACTCAAATGTAGGGGTCAGGTAGCTACCAAATCCCAATAAAGTGGGATAGGGTATTTAAAGTATAGCATGGGTGGACTGGAGGGGTGACTAAAGCTTTTCCCACTATAAATAATTTCAGGGAGAAAGGAAGGGTATGGGAAGGGGTCAGTTCCCCTTCTCAGTCATCCATGATGAGCTTTATATGGCCTTAAGAACATAAGAACATAAGAGACACCAATGTTGGATCAGGCCAAAGGCCCATCCAGTCCAACACTCTGTGTCACACAGTGGCCAGAAATACCAGGTGCCCCATCAGGAGGTCCGCCAGTGGGGCCTTCCGTTATACTACTTTACCTTAATTTAACACAACCTGAGTTGGGTTATGCCACCTCTATATCATGTCAATGGTAGCATTGGAGTGCTATATATGAGGTAGTCATCTTTCTTTTCTAAATTCGTTCCCAGTTTCTAGAATCAAATAACAACATTTCACA